TCCTTAAGACTGGCTTCTGTCCCGACTTGCGGCGCATAAGCGCTAACAATATTAACAGTCTCACGTCCAATTATCATTTTTAAAGAAATAATTCTGTCTCCAATTCTACTAACTTCTACAACGTTCTTCTTCCACTCCTTATCTATAATGATGCCTACTCCATTGCGTGCACTTTTCCTGTATACCAAAGTTTGAAACCTTGAATATCCTTAGCTCCTTCTCCACGCCATTTTGTTTCTTGCAAGCAAAGGATATTGATTTTCCTTTGAATCATAACCCTACAACCTCTACAGATTTACAATTTAATGTCCCAACATTCCAAGTACCAAATCTAATTTTGCTCTTATGGACTAACTTCTTTAGCCGCGTGCGTCCAGAATGACGCGGTAGCCCTTGCTCATTTAACACTACATCCGGGCGCCGATGCAACGGCTCTAACTCACTTATCACTGTACTCGAACCATGCAGCGCGTTACTTACGGGCAACGACCTAGCATTAACATTATAACGTATATTGTCCATGTTCATGATAGATTCTACAAACTCTTGAACATTACAACAAATTAATAAGCCTTATCCTACCAGGTGGAGTCAGTTACATAAATTGCACGATGCTATTGTGCTCTATTAACAGCTAAGCCTTTGAAAATATTGTCAATCAGAACGTCTCATCCAACAACTTCTAAGAATATTTTTTTTAATCTTCCTCCACCCCTCTTTATGAGGTTCAAATTTATCTATTTCACTCTCCTCACCAAACATCCCTCAACCTTATCCCACTCTTGAACGTCAATCAATTAAAAGTCCAAAAAATAGCTTAGAATTTATAAAATATTCTAGCACAACAATAAAAACTATAGGAGCCTCTTTTAGATGGATGTACGGGAAGGCAAACACCCTGTATGGTGAAAATCCATTATAAAATTTGATATAAAATACCTCATCATGGAATACTTACTCCAAGTTCCATAGGCATGGCAGGCATGTGAGGTACAGTAGTTACATTAGTTGGATAATAGAAGGAGACATCTGACAACTGCGAGGGAGGCCTAACAGGTGATTGGGATGGAATGAAACTCTTTGCATTTGGATTGAGCTTGAATTCCTAAGGGCATCATCAAGAAAAATGGGGAGTTCGGTGATGTATCTTTAGAATTAGTTAAAAACAAAATCAATTATTGCAATTTTTCTCCATGAAAATACGATTTTGAACTTTCAGACCTTTGCATTCGGATTCAGCATCGATTTTTCTGAAGATAATGAACCAACTGAAGAACTTGGTGATAGACCAGGGACCAGAAGATGCTGCAACACCTCTCACACAATCTGTGCGAGTTGATGTAGAACCAGCAGTTATTCCAAGGGATTTTAGAGAATTTCTCTCCCCTTTACCTTTATCAGATGTTGAATCCCCGATCAAATCACCAGGCAAACCTGTCTTTTCAGGATTCTTTGATGAAATATGAGATGAAGGGCCATAAGAGGTGGCATTTGAAGACAATCCCCCAGTATCAGGGTCATCCTTCTTCAAGTTGTGATATGACTGCAAGTCTGCATAAAATTTTACTCAAATCAGAGTAACACACATTTAATGAACCACCTTAATGAAGTTTCAAGTGCAGGTGAATTCTGCCATGCCCAAAGTAATAATATGAATACAGAAGAAAGCTCCAGCACTTCCTTTAGGGAGAGAAGAGACGGTTAACATAACCCTCAAAAAAAGTGAGGAGTGATTTTAATTTCCTTCATATTATTTCAGGGGCTTTTCAAACAACTTCAACTGCAGAGAGCTGAGATAGCAAGTTCACAAACCTTCAGATTTTGACAGCTGAACATCCCCAGATTGCTGCATTAGTCAAATAAAAGAGTAATCAGATTTAGAGCGTCTGAACAAATTATCTTGTAGGGGGTATTTACATAGACATGGTAACTTCAACTCACTATCTGATTTTCTTCCTTGCTATTGTCAATGGCTCCATGCAGATCACTAAGCGAGTCCTTCTGCATCCTGAAAGTTCATTGGATATGAATTCACTATACAGTAGTCCTAATGCTATTATTTTTTGAATCAACACAGCAGTTACGCTAAGTGGTAAATGACTCCACACCACTTAAGCAACGTCCCAATTTGAACTTTGAAAATAAGAAGAGCCAAGTTGGGAGAGTTACCTCCCATTTGGGGCCTAATTTGCTTGAATTCAAAATTAGTTGGTAGCATCAGATACTAAATAATTTGTTAAAAAAGGGGGGGAACTTTTATTTTCTAGACAGCCATGCTTGAGTAAAACATTAATTTTTGCAGGGAATCAATAGAAACCTGCATTCAGCATCCAAAGTAGGGTCAGTTGTTGTAGGGAGTTCAGATGCTAACTGACTATCAAGATTGTGAGAGCCAGCACGACCTAAATCCACATCATTACTTGACTGAGATGAATGTGGTAAATCCTGCAAACCCACAAAACATAATATAATAAAATAAGAAAAGACAACAGAGAAGTTACTAGCTGAAAGAGAGGGAGGAGGGGAAACAACGAACCCATATCTCTTAGCAATACAATTATATTTTAAGTTATATTCATATGCGCAAGAAGACTCAGAACTTTTAGCACACCTTGCAAGCAGAACTAATTCATTTAAACATCATAAATAAACTCACAAGAAGAACCCCAGCAATGTGCTGCCTTCTTCAAGGCATAAAATTTACACTCATTGATGAGGGCATAAAATTTCATTCATATCACCATCTCAATATAGACAATGGGATCAGAAAGAATCAAACCTTATACTGCTAGGTCATCGGAAACTTCAATAATGTGTCAAAAACAATTTCATCCAAAAAGCACATGCCATTAGGTGAAGACCCACAAGTGTCCTTATAACTATCACTAGCATGATATCGTACTTCACAGCATGACAGAGGTATAAAGCATAGTTATTTAGCCAAACATTAACCCCTTGAATGCGAAACTGCAATCTAGTAGCTTTGCTTAGGGACAACAAAGCAAATTTAACTGTACTTGCATAAACAAAAGTTGACAAATGAATAGGATTACAGAATAATTTATTTACTAAAACGAGGAAAACATAACCAACCACATTGTGGTAGTCTTCACTTAGAACCACACTATGGTAGTCTTCACTTGGAGGCGTGGACAAAATAGTGTCTTCCAAAAGAGAAACAACAATTGATAATGATTATAATATTAGAGTTTAACAATAAAATAAATGATTGATAAGATACCGTAGAGGAGGAATTTGACAATGTTCTGACTCCATCATCATCTTCCCATCACTTGATTCAATAGACCTCATAACAACTGAAGGAACGGTACCACCAAAGGTTTCAGAATTGTGGAATCCAACAAAATATCCTCATTTTCATCATAGCTACTGTCATCAACCCCTCTATCCCTATGGACTGAAGAGAACCTAGCCTCTTCATCAATATCAAAATTCTTATGTAGAAAGAGGCCTCTTTCCTGTCGGGAATAAATCATAAACATTGTATGAGGAATTCAGCATACAATTAAGCAACAAAAAAGTACAGAAAGCCACAATATCAAAGGGGAAAAAAATATGGAAACCAGAAAAGCACCAAAGCATCACTAACCTCTGCTAGGTGAAGATCTTGCGTATCCTCGCCCTCAATCTCTCTTGCTATTCTTGAAGCTTGTTTTTCCAACTCTCTTGTCTGAGGGCCTTTTTGGAGCTTTGTGGTATAAAGTTCCTCATTGAACGTGCTTTTTACACCAAACAACGTTTGTTTGCTTCAAACTGATCCCAGCCCCTTTTAGAAATACAGATAACAATTGTCATGTAAAACAAATTAAGAATCTTTAAATAAATTATGATTAGAAAAAGAAAACAATGAAGACAACCTTGATATGGATAGAGATAGTCAAAATGTGGTAGGCTTCATTTAGATTCACGTTAAAATTTAAGGAACAGACAAAAACCCCTTATTTCCTAATTCCCCTCTTTGCTATCTCAAGAATATGCCTACAACCAATGTGTTCCGTCAACTTAAATGGTGGGGACCCACAGGAGTAATGGGCTCCGTACATTTTGCGTTTATCTCTTTCCCAAATTAACTACGTCAATATTGGAGAGAAAACGAAAGGATCCATTTTCATTTATCATGCAACCTTTATGGTCTAAGAAAGAAAAAGAAAAGCTGACATGCATACATGGGCATCAAGTCAAGATCGCAGTTTCAAGAAAAGTAATAATTCATTTATTTGTAGAAGAAAATTTTCTTATTTATGGATAAAACTTGAAAATAATAATAATAAACACCTATTCCAAGTTTCATCAAAGACATTTTCTAGTTCAGGGCATTGTGGATCATCTTCGTCAGGCACCCATGGTTGTAGTTCTCTCTCCATGTCAACATGACGTGATTGTGATATTATTGAGTCAACAATGATGTCCTGATACATTTCATGATGAGCTTCACTAGGTAGGCCGTCCCTAGTAACAGCAACGCCCTGCCATGATTGATATACATATATATATGATCAATAAAGAAGTTGACAAAGTGTCACGGCCATTTGCCTGATTCTACACTAAAACTATTCCCACACTAAAATAAATTATTGTAAACTAGACAGAATTGAAATCAAAATACACAAGGATATTTAATTTAACTGAGATAATATAGATTTCCAGTACACTGCAGATATGAAAAGCTGCGAACCTTTGCGATGACTTGTACAAATTCTTTGCCAGGTATAATTAAAGTCTTTAAAGAAGCCTTGCTGACCAATTCTATACCAGACTTCTGCCCTCGCAAAGAACCATCCTTTGTCAAGCGAGCCATCTTAAAATGATTCCTAAAGAAAGTAGAGACGATTTAAACAGTACACAATGTTCATCAGTTCTCTTACAAAAGAAACGAACAAAGGAAGAAAACTCTATTCAACAAAGCAACACAAAAAAATTTCTTCATTAGCGCAAAATAAATATAAAAAGAAAATTAACAGAGCATACCAAAATCTTTCCAGTATTTGTTGCATGGAATATTCCAGAGTATATAGATCCATTTTTAACATGCACTTCCACCTGCTGTCCAATAAGACATGATGTAACATATACTAGTCGATCATGTGAAGGACCATCACCTATATCACCAGTCACCAAACCAATAAGAAGAAATATTAGCAAAGTTAACTAAAGGGAAATAGAAAGTAATCCAGGTCAGAAGTTCACCTGTACTTGCCCGTCTGTTGGAATTTGACTTCCCAGATGAGATCTTATTCTCTGACTTGGCTGCCCCTTCTCTTTCAGATTTTCGACGGCCATATCCATTAGAGGATCTAGACTGCCCAACTTGTTGCAAATTCATCATCAACCAGCAGGCCCTCTAACCTGGAATACTAAAAAGTTCAATTCGGACTATTTCCAAAAAAGTCATTTCTGACCAGGACCTCTCAGACCCAAAAAAAAAGAAGTTTTAAAAAAAAAATAATAATGTAGCCCCCAAATAACGTTCGAAAAAATGGAGCGTCTAGTTTACTCATCAAGAAAAAAAATAGTTTGCCTCCAAATATTTCACTCAAGCTCCCAAAACAGAAAATATCAAACTAAGTAACCACGAATGCAGCAGATAATTTTTGTAACAGTCACTTTCTTTATCTGACCTGCAAACGTCTCAGTTTCTTTTGGTGCCTAGCAAATTCACAAGCTGCCATTTTTAAATTTAACAATGTGTAGAGTCCACAACAAGAAATATGATAATCACTAAATTCCTCATTAATTAAAGGATTGTTTGACTTCAAAATCAAAAATAACAAAAAAAGAAAGAAAAACGGGGGAAAAAAAAAACACAGATGAAGTGTTATTTTATTTGCAAGTTTCAGTTTCCAAAACAAAAGTATTTTGAGTGGTGCAGAATAAGTATTGATATTTTCTTGAATAAAAGCAGGGGAAATGTCTGATCAGCCTAGCATAATTTTTTGTTTGCAAAGTTCAGGGCTGTGTTTGATGCAACAGATTCTAGTCCGTGGAACTCATTGCCAAGAGGATGGGAAGACCAGCAAGTTTTAGGATCTTTTTTTTTTTTTTGGGGGGGGGGGGGGCTTTTGCATTTTAATATCGTTTGAAAATCACACCCTACTTCTAGACTTTATTCTTGCATTATAACCATGGTTAGAACTTTTCATAGCGATCAAAATCTTAATGATAGAGAAAGTTCAGAATTGGAGTCCATTCTCAGTACTATCAATTCTAGGATGTAAAGATGTATAATTAATGGAACACTTGGTTCAATTCCATGTAAAAGGATTGCCTAATCCTGATGCATTTTGCTGATTCACGTGTTTGGTTGACAAAGTAAAGTAATCCAATGTAATCCTGACTACATCATATTACAACAAATCATGTAATCCCCATTACATAACTTTAGGTAAGCTAGTTCTGCAGTTTTTGGGCCAACCAATAACCGGGGCTTTAGAAGTAAGGCAAGGTTCTATGATGCTGCTTGCAGTTATTCGTGGTTATAGTTCAAGGATAAATTTATGTAGCCGCCATTTCTTTCAGACAAAGCCATGTTCCCAACATCTTACGTGTGAAGCTAACAGTCTTTCTTAAAGGCGTCTCCTGCTAATATAGAGAGCTCTGATCAGTTAATGCTGATTTCTCTACTCCTTTTCTCCTAGCTTTGTTTTCTCTACCTGAATAATTTTCTTTCCCCCATTACTCATAAAATCTGATCATCTATCCAAACAAGATGATATTTTCAGGGACGCATGCCCGTCCCCTAGAAGTATACCACTGATTCAGAAATCAGTTAGCCGTTGAGGAGAAACTCATAAAGATTAAAAATGAAAAATAAACAATTTTTATATCTTAAACCTCCATGTCACTTAGCATTTATCAATCAAAATTATAGAACCGCCTCCATTCAGCATCTCATATAACCAACAATCGCTTAACCGAATATTCAAAATTTAAAACACTTTTTTTTTTGGCTTTGAACTCTCCTAGTTCCCCGTCCACTCAAAAAACAAACAGGATAGCGCTATTACTTATATCTAACACCAAAAAAAAAAAAAAAATTAAGAGAGCAAACCCATGTATTAATAAATGGGAAACCGATTGCGTACCTCTAGAAGCTTGATCAATAACCGAATAATTGATTCCCGCACAAGCTGAACCGAGAAGCGGAATGGAACACTTGGCGGCTAGGGATTGGAATGATACAAGGGAAGGCCTGCTCTGAAAGGAGAGTGGACGAAGAAGACGAAGAAAGCACGAATCACACAGCGATGGAGAACGGAGGAGGGAGGGGAGTCGTCCTCTCGGCGTGATCGAGATTCAGAGAGGTGGAAAGAGTGATTTTTGTCTTGAGATTTCGAAGGGGCAGCGAACAAACGAGCGCGAACACCGTGCAGCAGAAACCCCCCGAAATGAAACAAAGGGAATGATTAGGTGCAGACGGGTTCAGTCTTTACCATGGGCACGCTCTAATTCAGATTATTTTCACACCTCATTGGCTATTTGTTTCTGTTTTTGTTTTTCTTTTTCTGAGCTTTGGTGCGATGACGGAGAAGAAGTAGCCTGCGTTTTGGATAGATCGGATGAAACTAAAGATTGATTTGTTTAAAATTAAAAAATAAATTTTTTTTATGTAGTTTAAAGGTTTTATAAAAAATAAATTATTTTATAAAAATTTTATAAAAATATATTATTTTATGTTTGATTACAATAATAAAAAAATAATTTTTAATAATTTTTAAATTTTATTATATATTTTTTAATTTTTATTTTACAAAAATAATTTATTATTATATTATTTTAAAATTTTATAATCTCACATCTTTAAAGCACTTTTTTTATTTATTGTATTGAATTATTTTTAAAAATAACTTAAAGTGATATTTTAAAATAATTAAAAATTTATTTTTTTACATTCTAATCATTTTAAAAAATATAAATAAATATAATAAAAACTCATAAAATAATTTTTTAAAAAATAAGTGATTTTTTATAAAATAAGTTAAAATAAATGGGCTTTAAAATTAATTTATATTATTAATTTTAAATATAATTGATGATTATGTTTAGTAATAGCATAGGTTCATTTATTTAAAGCTTTTGAAAAAATTATCACTTTCTTAAAAATAAAGTATAGAGAAAATAACAGTTAAATTCTTAAAGGGTAAATTAATGATATTTACAGGCTAGAAAAAAAAGACAGAGAGAGAGAATTAATGATATTTCACTCTGTGGTAAAAAATTTTAAAAAGTAAGTTTTAAATATCAATTTAGAAAGTCATAAATAAAAATTTAAGTTATAATTTAAAAATTAGATTTAATATTTAAATAATTATAATTGAAATTTCTAAATTTATGATCATATAGATTGTTATTTACACTTACGTCTAAAAAAATTTGTCAAGAACCTGACTATCATTAATATAGTATTCTATAATTCCTTTATTAAAAAATATAAGGTATTTTTTAAAAAGTTAAATGTTAAAAAATATAAGGTATTTTTAGTTTTTTGAGATATAATTATTGTTCTTTTTTAACAGTACCCCTATTGATAATAACTTTATATTTATTATAGGGTATTTAATAGGGGCAAATATAGAAATATATGGCTAGTTAGAAAATAAGTAACTACTTTATTAAAGGTAAGATTTGATTAAAAATACCTTATATTTTTTAACGGAGGGAGTACCTAATTGTCATTCTCTGAAAAATTTATTTTATGAGATTTGATTATTTTTATTTAAACTTATAAAAATGATTTATAACTTAAGAAAAAAATACATTTCTTATTATTTTGATAGACTATTTTGAATGGTTTCTGAAAAAAAAAATTAATGTAATAGATAATGCAATAGTAATTATTATTTTGTTATTTTACTTTTCATTTTTATAATCAAACATAAAATAATATAAATAAAATATTTTATTTGTAAAATTGATTGATAAAATTAATTTTAAATATCATTACATTTACAAAATAAAATAAAAAATTGTTTAAAACTATGGTTTTTATTTTTTGCCAACATTAGACTACGGTTTATGAAAATATATCAAACACAATAATCTTAAATCTATTTAAAAAAAAACAATATATTTTTGACATTTAACATTGATTTTCAAGGCTATCCAGCACACACACGCACGTAATCTACTGGTACAAATTAGTGACAGAAGATAACATGATAATAATTATAATTAGTAATTGCATGCCAACTTCTTTTTCTTTCGAAATAATTACTATTCCAAAATAAAAACAAACACGTTGATGAAATTGCATTTATTTTGAGCCAGACACGTTTGGTGAATCCTCATACTATTTTTAATCTGTATAGTAATGGTTGCGGAAACCATTATATTTTCATAGGTAATATTAAAATTTAAAATTAATTAAACTTAAGCATAGTATCATCAAATAAAATTTAAATAACTTTTTTATTACGCATATATGTCCTTCTAAAAACAACAATTATGTCTGAGCCACAAGCATTAAATAAGTAAGTACAAAAATATTTAATTTGAATTCTTTTTATTTGAATTATTTATTTATGGGATTTGGATGGGAATTATTGATCAACTTAAAATTTAAATTCATTTTTTATTCAAAATTCTCCCTTACACAATTAAATTTCAAGTGATAATAAAAGTTTAAAATTCAAATTCATTATTCATTTCAACTTAAATTATATAGTTGAGATTTTTATGTCCATAAAGGCCAGTCAAATTATATCATGGTCTGTGCATTAGATTGTAAACAAGTTGTTGATCTCTGCAACAATTTTTTGGGGAAAAACAATATTTTGTCCTCTATTTGGGAGGATAATGAGCAAATGGCTACATGTGATTGGGATATACAGATTCAATTTGCTCCTAGAGAGTCAAACATGATGGCTAATCCTACTGCCAAACGTTATCTTGGTAATAGAAACCGTTTTCCTTTTTGTTGATGTTGTATCTAAATATGTCATAACTCTAGTGCACAAGGATGTAATGGAATCTTTATCCCGCCACTTTATGATTAGTTGTTAATGAAATGAGCTTCGGCCCCTCTCGTTATCAATATATATATATATATATATATCATTGTCTTTTCTTTAATCCTTTTATACAATCATGGCTTAAATTTATTCTTATATTTCATCTGATTTTCTAAAGATCATTGGGTTCAATGATTGGATATTAGAGGATTAAGTTAGATTGGTTAAATTCTAATAATTGAGTTATAATCAAGTTAAAATTGTTAGGATTAAATGATTAATTTTTTATTTTCTTATTGTTTTATACTTCATCGGTTCTTAAAAGTAAGAGTTGATTGAAAGGTTTAATTTGGTCCTAATTATAAGATTTTGATATACTTTGTTTTCCAAATTACACTTGTCCCTATCATATTGGTCAAGCATGTTGAGGGAGTTTCAAACATGCATTTTATGAAAATCAATACATCTTTTGTACAAATGATTAAATTAACTAGTTTTTTTTAAATTTCTATAAACTAGTTATTGAGAACTTACACCTAAGATAATGAATGTTAGAATGCTTAAGTGTGAGTGGAATTGAATCAATATAAAAAGTCTCACACCAAATAAAGTTATGATAAATAACTAAAATAAAAAGAAATAACTCATAAATTTAAGTCTTAAAATTTTAAATTAAGACATGGTATCATTATATTGCTCTTAGACCATTTATTCTATCCCTTCATATTTGGGCAATCACCCTCCATTTTTAACAAGTAGTATCAGGGTCAAGTTTTTATCCTAGAAAGACCTATAATTTTGAGGTTTTGAATTAAGATGGACACTATGAAAATGTGAATGCATTTGTATTCAATGCATTTTTGCATAAATTGCAAAAAGCTTATTGGAAGTTGCAATATCCATAGCTATACTATTGCGAAATTCCTTTGATTTGAGTTTCATGAAGAAGATACTTAGTTAGCCTCCATTTATAGAATGATGGATGTAACACCCAATCTTTATTAACTAAAAACTTATCCAAACACCATGACAATAAAAAGATTTAAACCAATAAAAATAATTATCATGATATAAAAGTTTAAAACCAATTCCCAAATTTATTTTTAAAAATGTTATTTGATCTTAATTTCCCAATTTGCTATTTATAGAGGTGTTAAGAGTTCCTTAGAAACTCCTTAATTTTTGCTTTGATGTTTGAGTTACTTGGATAGTCTCTTACAAATAAACCTCAGGTTTTTTTAAGTGAACTTAAGCCCACGTAACTTCTTATTAGGTTACTTTATATGCTAATGTAGGTAAATAACTGAACCTTTTCATGTATTGATATCAAATTGAATCTAAATAGCATGCCTATAACAATGCTTTTTGAAAACTCAACCTAATGGTTAACAAATTAATTTTTTGGAAACTTTTATGTAAAACTATGGTTAGTATAAAAGTCTTAAGAATTCTTATAATTGCTTGTTTGGAATTTCTTGGGCTGAATAAACTCATATTGATTATAATTTGATTGACTAGATCTAGGTTGAGTCATTTGAATAGAAGTTATATATAAAATTTGATAGCGACTATATAATGATAAATGTTGGAAAAGTTGAGAAGTGTTAATGAAAATTGTGATTTGGCATGAAAAATATTGGAACTATGTTGTTATAAGGTGGCTACAAGTTATAGGTTTAAAATGAAGACATAAGAGTGAACCGTGATCATGCACTCACCCCCATGGGGTGCACACTAGGTGTAGTGGCAAAGCTAGAACTCCAAGTCAAGGGGTGCAAAATAATTTAATAAAAAGTTAATATTTTTTTAAAAAAATAACAACTATGCTAGGACTAAAATTATAATAACATAAATAGTTTTATCATCATTTTTTATTTTTTAAAAATAATATTGAATAGATTGATATGGTCTTTTTATTATAAATATCCTCTTCATATCTTATATGGATCATTAAAATATTATATATCTAATAAGTTTTTAAGCCTAAATATTTTTCATTTAATTCAAAGGGTGCAAAATATCAAGAATAGGGGGTACAAAGTTATGAATTTTATATGCCAACTTGTAATTTTCCCTGAAGCGAGGGGGTGCAAATCAACTCAATATGGCTCCACCATTGATTAGGTGGCTTTGACCAGTGCATAAGCTACTTTGATTCCTTTAACTAGGGTCAAGATAAGCTCAGTGTAACAAACCAGTAAGCCCAGCTTTTCCCAAGGTAGTACTTGGGTTATTCCTCACCCCATCCTTACGAGAGCCTTTTGAAACTTTTCTAAACTCAAACCTCCAACCTCTATCACTTTAAGAAAGTTGAGGCTAACTTTGGTACCATTGGATCACTTGACTCAATGATACTAAATTTAACCTCAACTTCCTTAAGGTGATAAAGGTTGGAAGTTTGAGTTTGAGAAGATTCTAAAAGACCCTTGTGAGGGTGGGTTGAGGAATAAACACTGTACCATTAGTGGGAAAATTGGC